TTATACTTCCAGCTTCTAGACCTGATTGAAAGATTTCCAGAACTTTTATGGTTCTTTGTTAAAATGACTTAGGAAGATGACAGGGTTTGTCTGGATGTTCTTTTGAAGAACTGGGTTTCCCAGGCCAGGCTCACCTTCACAGCGGGGCACCGTGGAGCTCCAGACTACGTTTCCATCCTGAAGGATGCAGGTGATGGACTCAGAACCCTGAGTTTTCACAAAGCCATCATCACAGTGGAAGGACACAGAACTCCCCAGCAGAAATCTGTCACCAAAACGCCGCCCATTTACAGGAATCCCAGGGTCATGGCATTCATTCTGACCAAATGCTACAATGGAAAAAAGTCAGTAGAATTAAGATGCTTGAACATTAATTACATGTATGAAAAATGAGACATCACACTTATAAAACAATATGCCAAAGTTTCATTTACATCCCTCATAGATAAATACATCAAACAAATTGCATGCCATTATAAGAAAGAGGGAGAGAAAGACCTGCATCTGCATCTCCACAGCACACTGCACAAAATCAGCTTTCCTTGCGCACTAAGAGAAGAGACTCAGGAGGTAGAGGGGTCAGGAGGGGTCTGACCTGCTAGGGCACAGTGTTAGCTCAGTGTGTGGCATGGGGAAGAACACCCATGATCTAGGTCTGTTTATCTTTGTTTAAAACATGGGTAACATTAAGTCGGTATTGCAGAGTTACTGTAACACCAAATAAAATAATTACCACCGAATTTAAAATGCTGTGTAACTCAGTGTTAAGACATTAGCATCACTATCTCACATTTTTCTCTAATAGCAAATGTGTTGCAAACGAGGAAGCTGAAGCAAAGGGAAGTTAGCTCTTAGACCACAAGTTCACAAAGGATCTCAGGCACTGGTACCATAATCCTTAGCTCCTGACATCTGACACATCAGTGTGTTTTTACCATACAGTGCTCTTATGTAGAACATGTATGCGAAGTTAGCTCTTAGACCACAAGTTCACAAAGGATCTCAGGCACTGGTACCATAATCCTTAGCTCCTGACATCTTACACATCAGTGTGTTTTTACCATACAGTGCTCTTATGTAGAGCATGTATGTGTAGGTAGAGGTATTGATGGAAGAGTGGAAGGATGGATGGGTAGAAGGGCTGGTGGATACGAGGAATTATGGATCAATGAGTGGATACATGGATGGATGGTGAACGATGGATGGATAATGAAGGATGGACGGATGGATGGGTCATTAAGGAAGTATGGGTGGATGGGTAATGAAGGATGGTTATGATAAGAGGAATTATGGATCAATGAGTGGATACATGGATGGATGGTGAACGATGGATGGATAATGAAGGATGGACGGATGGATCATTAAGGAAGTATGGGTGGATGGGTAATGAAGGATGGTTAAGGATGAGTAATGAAGGATTGATGGGTGGATGGGTGGTGAAGGATGGTAAATGGATAGGTAATTAAGGAAGGATGGGTGGATGTATGGCTAAATTGATGCACAATGAAGGATGAATGGATAGATGGATATTGAAATATGTATAGATAGATGAATGGATGGATAATGACAGAAGGAT